CTGTATCAGAGGGGTGTTCCCCCCCCCCCCCCCCCCACATTTGAAGCAAAATCAGGAATAATATTATGCCAAATTCTAAAATTATTTGTCTGAATAATTTTTGTCTGTGATGATGAAATAAATATGGTGGAAACCTCTGTTCCCTTCCCCACTCCCCTGTCTCCCATAGCCATCACTCTGCTTTCTTGTCTGCTGTCATGCAGCGGCAGAAATCTAACCTGAACATGGATCACTAGGTGTATGTGAGTGGATGCGATAATTAATCTACAGAAAAATCCATTCTGAATCTTGTTCCTTGGCTAACAGAGCTTTCTACAAGGTGACAATTAGGTTTGCTATCAAAAGCCTCAATCCTGTAGATGCTTAAAGATGCACAGAACTTTGCTCATGTAAGTAGATTTGTTGGCATCAATGGAACTACTGTAATGAGTATAGTTATGAATGTGCTTAAGAATTTGTAAGATTAGAGCCTAAATGTACCAATTTCATGAATTGCAAATTATGTGGAATTAACAGAGTGATTGAATGCTCTCCTATTTGAATGGATCGTTTTCCTCTTCCTCTCCCTTTTGTTTCTATTCAGTTATTGTGACTGCCTGACATGTCATGGTACTAGTCTAAGATCAGGTATCTGTTGTCTTGAAATCAGATTAACTGCTGAACATGACCATTTTAAGAAGGGGGATGGGGGAAGGAAAGACGCCCTTTTTCTTTTTTTCATACTTCAACTTGGGAGGTCAGGTAAGCTGCTTTCGAAAGGGAGGCAGTTGCCACAGTGGCTCTGAGATGGCTTACTGGGGAAAGGTTTGGCAAGGAAGTGTAATTCTTTCCCTTCTGTGGCTTGACTTAGTGATGTGATCTATCTCTACTCAGCATTCCTTCACCCTTTATGTTGGCCCACAGAATTGAACATTTTGTTCTTATATCTGTTATATCATTGTCCTTCCACCTCCTCCAAAAAGCAAAAAGTGCCTTAGGAAGAAGACATTATTTAGAGTGTAAAGAAAATGCTTCTTTTAAAATGCAGGGATTGGAGACTCCTAAATTCAAAACCCATCGAAATATATCAGCACGAGAAGTTGACTTGTAAAATGTTATCTGCTACTGTACTGTACAATCTCACACTTTATTCAGTACTCTAGATTAATTTAGACAATCTCCATAGTTTTTACTAACCAGAACAACTTAGTTGCAACATCAAATGTCATTTGTCAGCTCCCTGAAACACTGACCCCATTACTGGACTGCGAGGCATCCTATTATTAATTTCATCCCAATCTGGAGAACTGTCATTCATCACAATGCTCTTCTAATGCTTGGCTAGTTTTGAATCCATGCTAAGCATGTGCTGATGCCTCCTTCCTTCACTTCTACTTGTACCTTAGGGTTGATAGTTTCTTTTTGATAATGTCCCTAGTTCAAAAAAAATTAAGGGAATTGACAAGTTAATTTTACTTTATTAACATTCATGAAGAATTCAAACAAGTAAGAGGCAGAATTCTGTCTTCCAAAACCTGCGACTCTTTGACCCTCGCATGCAATGCTTATTCAAGTGATATGCTGTTGTCTCTAATTACCAGTTGTGAGCTGTGATTCTTTTTTCTTTTTTTTTTTTTAAGATTAATGAAGAATTGTACAACAGCATGCAAAAAATCTGCATTTAGTATGGTGTGTTTAAAGAACATGGCTTACAATCATATGCATGTATCCAGAAGTAATTCTTGCTCTTTGTTTCCTTTAAGTCAAAGAAGTCTGGCAGAGATTACAGAGCTGATCCATACTGCTTTTCTTGTGCATCGTGGGATAGTAAACATTGGTGAGCTGAAGTCCTGTGATGGACCAATGAAGGACATGCAGTTTGGAAATAAAATGGCTGTCCTGAGTGGAGACTTCCTTCTAGCAAATGCTTGCACAAGCCTTGCTCAGTTGCAGAATACCAAGGTAAAAAAATAAGTTTCTATCACTATAGCAGGTAACAGCTCCAGTTGCCAGTTAACTACTGAATGGATAAGGCAGAACTGAGAAATCCTTTTACAGAAAAAAACTGGCACAGTTATATTGTATGTACAGCTGGATTGACAGCTGGATGCTGCTCGAAGTCTGTCTACCACAGTATTACAGAAACGCTATCACTATTAATGCTTTAGTATGTGTTCTGTAGCAGCATTGCCATAGATAGTAATGGATGAAAGGACAGGCTGGTGAATTTAAACTGTGCTGCTGCTGCATCCTAAAGATATGTTGGAGTACAGCACATCTCTGGCACTGTGCCAACTGCAGCTCAAGACATGTTTGGTGCATTATTTAGTTTGACATCATGCCTGTGTAGGAGAGAGAAGGGTTTTTGTTCGTCTTACATTTAGGGGTTCTGTAGGGTTTTCCCTATTTGGTGTGCATACCTTTTGATCTTAGAGTATTTTGTTAGGCATCTGGATATTCTTGGCCATTGTCTTGTCCTGTAAACCTAAACTGTTTCAAAGAACTGCTGAAGCCATATTGCTTAGTGCAACTATTTGAAAGTTTAGAAAATAGGAAACATTTGTCATTGTGAATAAGCTGTTGTGTCTAATATGGTACTTCATATATGGATAGATAGATCTATATATATCAAAAATATATTTTAAAATATAAATAATTTATAATTATAGTCACTGTTTCTGAGTCTTGTGATCCTATTGTGTTTGCTTTTTATGGTGCACCCATTGTCCTGGTGTCTGAATGCATGTGGTACCTTGAGGATCACTGTGACTGTCTTTCTGAAAAGTGTGATACTTGCAGAGTTGAGGTTGAGCATAAGGTACACTGATTCAGCAGTCATTCACTTGAATAATACTGCAGAAACCTCAAATATTAAAGCAGTTTTATTTTAAATATTATGTTTGATCAAAATAGAATGGTTACTGATTTAATGCGAAGTGTGATTTTTACTGGTTTTTATCCATTAAGGATTAATACTTTGACATTTCAGGAGAGTCTAAATATGGTCACCTTCAATGCAGAAAAATGGGAATAAAATCCACTAATCTGCCTGCATAGACCAGCAAAGGGTGGGGGGGGGAGGGTGTGTGTGTGTGTGTGTGTGTGTGTGTGTGTGTGAAAACATACTGCATGTACTACTCAAGTTTAGCAAAATGTTAAGTATTCCAGCACCAAAGCGTAATCTTTTTAAGGCTTGCCAGGAAGCAAGCTGCAGTAAAAGGAAGCATAAGTACCAAAATAATGCTTGCTTTTTCAAGCAGTTGCTATACTGGATGTCTAAAAATTCTGCCAAAACATTTTAACACTTTTTTTTTTTTTTTTTTTTTTTTTCTGACATCTAAATACTTTCATAGCTTCTATGTGCAATAAGTGGGATGCCATTATGAAAACTGATGGATTTACTACCCCCAATCCTACTAGAAAAGTTAAAAACATTGAAATAAGAGCTATAGAAATCATTTGACAGGTGCAGTTATTTAAACATATCCTTTGTTTAAACACATTCTTTTATAAATGATGAATTTTCAAATCTATGCATCATGACTTTTTTTCTTCGTAATGTTTTCTTTAAAAGGAAGAGTAAAAATGAGGTACTATTCTTTGATGACATTTGGCAGCTAAGAAGATTGGCTTATTGAAAATTGGGCAATTGAAAAACATGGAATGCTGTATTTACTCGATTGCAGACATGGTTCCTCCCTCCCCCCATTCAATATAGGAAAAACAAAGCCTCATCTCAGAGTAGAGTGTGGGACCACTCTAGCTGGGAGCATTGAGGAGCGGTGGTATCCCCAGCTGATCTGGGTGCAGAGGGAACCCCAGAGCTGCTCCTGACCTGCTGCTGTGCCACGCTGCAGGGAGCCTGACTTCCCCAGGGTACTAGTGGTGGTACTCAGGTTCTTCCTTCCCGGCTCTACTCCCTGATCGCCCCCTCCCCTTTGCTGCCAGTCTCCACTGATGACTGAAAGTAGGGACTGGAAAAGGGAACCTGAGCACCTCTGCCGTTTTGTTCCCTGCCAAGGAACTGTTCACAGCTGCTCCTTGCAGTGCAGGGCTGAGTGTCAGGAGCATCTCTAGGTCTGGGCAAGTGGCAGGTGGGACAGGTGCTATGGGAGAGGGCATGCAGATAAGGGACAGGGGAATAGATTGCCTGCCCCTGCCCCCCCAGCCACTTGCCCCTTGCTGCTGCTTTCCCTGCTGCAGTAAGGGGGGGACGACAAATTTAAGACAGTTCTCCAGTAATTGGTTTCTGTACGTGGAAAGTTATAACAAACATAATTTTCCAATTTTTCATATGTAGAATCTAATTATTGGAGGAACATCTTATATTCAAAGTCATCTTAGATTTGGGTAAATATAGTATATTATAAACAGGACTGACCATAATAGGGTAAGTCTCTTTCTAGGCCTGCATTACCGTTTCAGTAATTTACAACAATAGTATACATTGTAGTTTAAACTTGTAGCTTAACTTAAAACCATTACTACCAAAGTAGTTTTATTGTGTTTTTAGACTCTTGTCTAAGCTTGTGTGTGATGCCTTTCTCTCTCTGCTTCTCTCGGGGCTGACAATTAGATGTGAAATTCTGCAGTCATAATGAAATGCAGAGCTATTTTATAATTGCCAAGGGTAAAATTAGCAAAGTCAATTATTTTCCCTTAGGCTTTTCCCTGTAGATATTAAAAGGCTGCAAGGTAATTGCCTTAGGTAACACTTTGATTTTTAAATAACATTAAGTATAGCAATTGTTGTTTAATTCTGTAGTAATGTTTTTCTTTTTGCTACTATTGTAGAATATAGCTATAATGATGTTAACAAGATTCAGGGCTGAAGGAGGAAAGTGCTTCAACTGTTGTTTAACAAATGCATATGGTTCTCATCCTTGTGTTTTTCTGAGTGTTGTGATGCAGAAGAGTAATTTAAATATTTCTCTATGTTAGGGGCACAAGGAACTTGAATTAGGATATCTTGAAATGCCAGATGGGAAACCATAAATTATGTGACCTGTTCCAAGATGGATTACTGTATTGTGTTAATATAAAACATCACTGTCCATCACAATGATGGGGCCAAACCAGTTATATAAATTCTTGTTGTTCAGTCTTGTAGAATAATTTTTAAGAGTATTATTTATTTAGTAAATGGGAAGAAACAGTATCATTTTCTGTGGCAGGATATTTTAGATGGGGGTAAGAGTGATATTGTAGCTGTGGTGATCCTAACATTATGTGAGAGGCAAGGATTTTTTAGGGTGGTATCTGTCTCGGACGGCCAGAGCCGACTCGAGTTACATTAGAAATTGGTCGTACGTTAGGGCGGGCTGGTGAATGGAGAGGCAGACACAACTTATTGGTTGCAAAAAACTTTACTCACGCCGCTTGCAATCACGACGCAGGTGGTCCGGTCGTCTGAACAACCACGCGAGTTGTTCCAGCTGCCGGGGCCCAAGCCAGTCAATCCGTCCGCAATTCGAAGCCGGCGGGGAAAGGGGGACGTCGGGGGTGCGCTCGGTGGCGGGGAGAAAGCTCGAGCGCTCGGTGACTGGAAGAAAGATCGATAGGTGATCAGTCTATCGATCGGCAGCCGCAAGTCAGATAACTTCAGAGGCACTCTGCAGCGTGCTCAAAGCTCTTTGACTTGGGCGGAAGTCGCACGGAATTTTAAACAGCTAGCGAGCCAATTACTAGCCGCCACGTGTGAATAATTTAGCACTGGCCGATAGCGGGGCACAAATTTACATCCGAATAGCAGGAACTCTTTGCACCGTGCATTTCTGTGCTGCAAAGAAGAAATGCATCTTGCAAAGGAAACTGCAAATTGGCGGGAACTCTCTCCTGCACGCGGGCTCTCAATTGCAGCAGAACACTCTGCCGTGCAAAGGAGCTCTCACGTGGCCAAGAAATTCCATAGTGCCGAGGCACAAAAATCACTGGGTTGTGACAGTATCTTCCTTTGTTCGACCAACTTCAGAGTTGTGATAGAGTTGGTATACTAAAAGATATCATCCTAAGAAATCCTTGCCTCTAGGATAAGTACTTTAGGGCATGTTTCTGATTCTCCCCCTCCCCTCCTTCCCCTAGACTTTCCAGGTTTGGTATTGATTATGGATTAAGATAAAATGCTAAATAAGTTATGATTACATATAGTACTTTTTGTCATCGTGGCAGCATTCTTAATCGATTTGAGTTAATAAAATTGTTTGAGCTAAACTCTGTAATAATAGCTTTTTATTCCCTTCTTAGAGTTGTACAGTATTGCATTTTGATCAGATCTTAGCATATTAACCATTCTTAAATGCACCCGTAGTAGCAGTTTGATCTTCTTACTGAACTATCAATTTCTGGGATTTAAAAATGTGTACTTCAGGTCAATAGTGGCATCTCTTGGCCTTGCAGCTAGTGTAAAGTGCAGTATCAGTTTAATATCTGATTTGTTCTTATTAGAGGACTATACCCTGTAGTCATAAGGGTGGACTCTGTGATCTCCAACAGAGCTATTGTTCTATTACATTTAATGTCAGCATGTGGGGCTGTTTCTTTGTTTAAAAAAGTATATCCAGCTAATATATGCCACATAAGTTCCAAATGGTATTTTAATAAAATCCCTTTTTTTTTATACGGATTATGGTGGGTCTGTTGGTTACAATATTTACTCTCATGCAAGATAAGGTTTTTCCCCTAATCAACATGGGGAGGGGGGAAAAGCCCAATATGTTATTGGAGTAAAAGCGGGGTAGAGGGCAGCAGCTCTGACACTGAACCCAAGGTCAAGGTTGGGGTTGGAGCTGTGGCTGCTACCCCTGCCTGTCCCCTACAGCTTCTGTTCCTCCCCCTCCCCACCATCCCTACTCCCTGCTACCACCTGGCCTCTGTTCCCTGCCCCTCTTCCCCCCGCCCCGCTTACTTTCTTATTGCAGCTTAAGCTCCAGATGGGGGCCCCACATGAGCCTGGAGCCAGGAGCACAGAGTACATGCTGGTTCCAGTCCCTGCCCAGTCAAGGAGATAGGGCTGGGGCTGGAGCTGCTGCCGTCATCACTGCTGCTGCATGGCCAGGCAGGAGCTGGATCCAGCATGAACTCTGTGCTTCCTGGCCCAAGTGGGGCTTTAGCAGAGCTGGAGCTGTAGTGGGGGAGGGGAGCAGTGAAGGCACTGGAGGGGGCCAAGTAGGGGGGACAGGCATGGGGTATGCAGGCAGCAGGGAGGGTAAATGGTAGGGGGGGCAGGCAGCAAGGGGTAGGGGGCAGGCCAGTAAACTACCCTGCTCCCTCCCCTCTGCTGCTTGCCCAGCTGCAATGACTGGGGGGCGGGGGAGCACAAATTTAAGATTCCCCTTTAGTAATTAGATTATGTACATGGAGAATTATAACAGTCTTGCAGACTGCCATAAACATAGTATGCACTGTAGAAACAGTATGTTAAAATGATCTGTAAACAGCGCTTGGAAACATCCGTAAACAAGCAGTAGTAGACTTAGTCAAAGATCCCTTGGATTATAGTATGGGTGTGGATACACAAAAGGTTTATTTTGAAGTAAATGTGGACTAGATGCATAACACACAATGTGCTAATACAGGTATCCCTCGATTTATGTGGGTTCTGTATATGCAAATTTGCTCTTAAGCAATGAGCGTTGTTAGACCCATAATTTGTTATATGTGAGGTAAATTTGCTCTTATGCCATCACCATAGGTGCGCCCCCCCCCATCCCCGGCCCAAGCAGGTAAATCTGTGTGGGGAGGGGAAGGGGCTGTGGGGCCGGGGCCCCAGTCACCCCAGCCCGTGCTGCAGCAGCCCCAGGAGCAGCCAGCGCCAGCTGCCTGCAGCCACTGGGCTGCACTGTGCTTTGCCTACACCCCCCCTCCCCCCCCAGCGCCTGGGCTCTGCTTGTCCGCACTCACCTCTGCTTCTGGGCTGCGCCGTGCCCTGGTGCAGGCAGCTGGTGTCAGCTGCTCCTCTGCAGTTGGCGCTGGCTGATTCCGGGGCCGCTGCAGCAGGGGCTAGGGTGAGTGTGGACAAGTGGAGCCCTGGGCGGCATGGGGCATGGCGCAGCTTGTCCGCACTCACTCCAGCCCCTGCTGCAGTGGCCCCAGGAGCAGCTGGCACCAACTGCAGAGGGAACTGTCAGTGGGTGCAGGGGGGAGGGGCAGGCGTGGGTCTTGCTCCTGCATGCCCCCCAGGAGGCCTGCAGGTTGGGGGGCTGTGCCGGGCTTTTCCCAGGGGGCATGTGCCCCCAGATCTGAGTGCAGGACAACAGCCTTTCCTCTCCCCCCACCCCTTTCCCTCCACTTACCAGCTGGGAAAATCCAGAGAGCTGAGTGTTGGATCAGGAGATAGTGAATTGGAGTTATTTTGACTTTGAAATCCCAAGCCTCCCAATGGTTTTGTGATGGGTTGGCATTACTACATCTGTTGTGTTACAAATTTGAGCAAGTTTCCGATCACTTATACCCATTTATGTGTAATTTCTGTCCCTAACCTATAATAGTATCTGGTGGGCAGCCACTTTTGGAGAGTTCATCTGTTCTTCATGACAGAGTCTAGGATAATAGAGTAATAGTCATGTTGTGGGCCCACATCTTATACCATCTTTTCCCCCCTGGTTCTGAGTAAGTTTTTAAAGATAACCCTAATTCCCTTCCTCCTCCCCCCTTCCCGCCCCCCCCAACACCATGACCTTTTGTATGGGGACTTGATTAGACACTAAGGCACTTGCAACCCACTGGCTGAAACATTAGGAAGTTAACTCTGGAGCCCTGCCTGCTGGTGCAGCCAACTGCATCATGGAGCATTGTTGTATTAAGCATTAGTTGTTTATAAACAAACAGTGGCACAGATGCGCTACTTATATAGTGGATGCATTTCCTTATGTTAACTTTATGTATTCCTAAAGGCATAAATATGTTGTTTACAAAATAGGCCTTGTGTTTGCATAAACATTAACAATTTCTGCTTGTAAATCTTCCCTTTGCACAGAAACTATTGTACATTTTGATTCATGAAAAAACTTGCTTATCTTGAAAGATGCTTTGTTGTTATGCAAGCATCAGTCATGGATCTATAATTAAAGTTGAGTTTTGCCTTCAAGGGATCAACTTTTCTTACCTATGAAGATTACAGTGTAACCCCTCCAAAGCTGAAGCAGTTGCTTTTGAAACACAACATTTTTTTTCTGAGAATTTACATGTAAATACATTAGTTTTAGTTGAAATTAACTTTAAAATGGATTTTTAAAGAAGTATAGCACTTGTCAGGCCATTTTTCCCCTGAATGATAACAGTAACCCTTTAGACTTTCTAGATGATTAAAAACGACACTGATACCTTACGCTGCCTTAACAGAAAAGTGTTTTTTTACATGAGATTAAAAATGTTCTCATGCAGAATTCAAGAAAGAATTTCCCATTTTCAAGGTGGTTGCCATCTTTATTGTTCTGAATCTAAGTAGGGCCATAGGGCAGCCATTAGCAAAAACTTGCTTTTAGATTGGTGAGACCATTTTCTTTGAGGCCAAACCGCCCTGAATCTGATTGAAATAGTCTAAAAGCACATCTTTGAGTGGTTGTGTCCTCAGTTCCTTTGAGAGCAGTAGTAACCATTTTGAAAGAGGGCAATTCTCCATGAATATTTTCTGAAGGAGAAAGAACTACCGGTTTCAGTTCACACTCCGATCAGTATACAAGATTTAAAAAAAAATGGAACTGAATCCATGCAAAGAACTACAGGAATCAGCAGCTGAATTGAAGCAACGAGATTGCCTGGTGATTTTGGCCTTGAAACTTAAAGTAATGAAAATATTTTACATGATATTAGAGATCTGCAGATTGCATCACATACTAGTGTTTTTCTTAGATTTCTTCTTTTTGCATTCATGTGCAAAATGTTTGTTTTTAAAAATGGGTAGTTCCTGGCAAAAACTTAATTTACTTTAGAATATACTTATCGGTTCAGGGAAAGGGGCCTGGGGATCATTGTATATAGCTTAATGAAAGCCTTTGCTCAGTGTATAGATAGGTCCAAAAGCAAGCAAGAGTGTTGTAGGACATATAAAGAATGGAGCGTAAAATGTTATAGTGCCCTATAAATCTGTGGGGTGGCCTTACCTAGCATACAGTATATACAGTGTAAAGCTAGTTATCTCGAAAAAGGATACTGCAGAAATAACTTTTTGAAAAGATGATGTAAGGATTTGGAACTGCATTTCATTTGCTTTAGGTGTAGAAGAGGGCAAAATAATAAAAATATTTAAAATAATGAATGGCAGAGAAGTTGGTTCATGTCACAGAACAAGATCAAAGGAACAGTCAGTGAAAATGGAAGAAAGATTTTAAATTCATATAACGAAATAATTTTTTTTTTATCCAGCACAGACTGTTCCAAGATGAAATTGAGGCCAACAATTTGGTAAGAATCAGAGAGATTAGATGTTTATAAGGATAACAAGAATATATTGAGTTAAAGTAACAATACAATGCATTTATGTTTGGAAGAGTAAAAAGACCTTGGGCTCCTGGGCTTGAAACCAGTCTAGCAGTAAATGTCTCATCCTGTTTACCACACCTGTCTACTGTTGGATTCTTGCAATCTCCCCGGCACCATCTTGTGCTGACAGGTTATTAGATTGGGCAATAGGCTTGATTCATTATGGCAATTTCCATGTTTTGGTATAAACATTTTAAGATAAAACACAACAGGAAAGCATCCCAAAATCTTGTATTACGTATATGGGAAATTCAAAATTAAAGTTAAACTTGTAGTAACCCAAATACATGGAAGTATGGGAATGTACAGCCAGAGAACCTAAACAACTTTAACTGTATTCTTGAGCAACATCAGAAATAAAAGAAAAAGAAAAAAAAGGTAATGTCTTTTGAGTGTTGGTTAATTTAATCTAGGGCTACAGATATTATGCCATAACAGTTGTCATGGTTGTTGCATGGAGCCATTCTAGAATTGAGATGATATTGTTAGGATTGCCATAACCATGGATGTCTGTACTTTTTAAAGTTCCTATTAAATTCTACGTTTTACAGATTTGTAATACTTGTTTTGGGGAGAACTGCAATGTTCTACAAAGGTTTTACTCTATTGCTGGTATGTTCTCAACCCCAAGTCTCAGTTTAATAGCTTTTTATCTGAGAGTTAAACTAAATGTTGTCAGCAATATATTTCAATATGTCATTATCATGCTATAAATAAATCAGTAGCAATTAGTGTCTATTTATTTTTTCTTAATTTTTGCAATATTCCAGACAGTGAAATAGTTTTTTTATGATTGATCCATTTCTAAGAATTTGACCTTTTTCGCTTGCAAGTTATTTGCAAATTGTTTGTCAGTTTGAATTTATCAAAGAATTGTTTTCTGACCAGTATGACCTTATTTGAGTTTTTAATAATAATGTTTCTCCAATAAGAGAAAAGACTTTTGAAACAGCGAGTTGAAGCCATTTGAATGGATGACAGATGCACTATTTTATTCTTCCATAAAAGTATTATTTGGAAAAGAACTGGTAGAATTGGTATATTCTAATCTGTCACTTTTTTTCTTACTACCTTCTTAAGGCATCTTTGTTTTGTCTTATGCTGTCATTAGAGTTGTCAGCTCTCAGAAAGAAGATAAGTTTTGTAGTATGATGATCCTATATCTCCTAATTAGTACAGTATAGTGGCACCCCCCAGTGTCAATAAAGCTGAGTTCATCAGCAGTTTTATCACTTCCTTGTCTTTTCAAGTTGTAAACACTTAACCCTAAAAATTAATTCTTGCCTAAAGGTTTCCAAATAAACGGTTAGTCTGAAAATTGTTTAGGCTTTCCTTTCTACAGATGTTCAAACTGTATTTTAGTTATAAATAACTCATAAAAATATTTTAAAATAAGTACATGAAAAGTCTAGTTACCTGAATGGCTCAGCATGCATATAATTCTTCAAACTAGAAATTTTGAAAAACAGAATTGTGTATTTTAAAGCCACTTCTGAATTTTAAGGTAACTGTGGTTCAGTTTTCATGTAATTGAATTGAGAAGTATTGTGGTGTGAGCAGTAGTCCCCTCTTCGACTTGTCATGGAAAGGACTCCATTGGATTGCCTTCAACAGTATTCTAGCTGTGTAACTACTTGGCTCTCCCATGGTGCTTAATCGGTACACTCTACATATAAAGGATACTCTCTAGCCTCCAAGTATCCTTTTTGTGCCTCTGCTGTTTTAAATGACAGTAAAATTAAGTGTTGTTACAATTTAAGAAGTTTGCCTGTACTCAAGAGTTTATTTTCAGCTCCCTAGTGCCTGTTGTATTGGAAGACTTTAGTTTTTCCTTGCTTCTCAGCCTGTTGAAAATTTATAGTTAGATTTCAGTTTTGTTTTTCTCTTCTCCTACTTCTATATGAAAAAATAACCAGAGGCTTGAAAGATAAAAAAGCTGTTGCACCATTTCTCTTATGGACAGGTATAAGCACTCTAGTCAGCGCTTGGAACAAAATGACAGTTGCAAACTGGGGGCTGCAGTGGACAATAAACTGAATACAAACCAACAGTGTGCCCTTGTTGCCAAAAAGGCTAACAGCATACTGGGCTGCATTAGTAGGAGTGTTGCCGGCAGGACAAGGGAAGTAATTATTCTCCTCTATTCAGCACTGGTGAAGCCACATAGATTCATAGATGTTAGGGTTGGAAGGGACCTCAATAAATCATCGAGTCCGACCCCCTGCATAGGCAGGAAAGTGTGCTGGGTTCAGATGACCCCAGCCAGATGCCTATCTAACCTCCTCTTAAAGACCCCCAGGGTAGGGGAGAGCACTACCTCCCTTGGGAGCCCGTTCCAGACTTTGGCCACTCTAACTGTGAAGTTCTTCCTAATGTCCAGTCTAAATCTGCTCCCTGCTACCTTGTGGCCATTATTTCTTGTGACCCCCAGGGGCGCCTTGGTGAGTAGAGCCTCACCAGTTCCCTTCTACGCCCTCATGATGAACTTATAGGCAGCCACAAGGTCGCCTCTAAACCTTCTCTTGCGGAGGCTGAAGAGGTCCAGGTGCCCTAGTCTCGCCTCGTAGGGCTTGGCCTGCAAGCCCTTAACCATACGAGTGGCCCTTCTTTGGACACTCTCTAGGTTATCCACATCCCTCTTGAAGTGTGGCGCCCAAAACTGCACACAGTATTCCAACTGCGGTCTGACCGGTTCCTGATAGAGGGGAAGTATCACCTCCTTGGTTCTGTTTGTCATGCATCTGCTGATGCACGATAAAGTGCAGTTAGCTTGCTGATGACTTCGTTGCACTGATGACTCATGTTCATCTTGGAGTCCGCTAGGACTCCAAGATCCCTTTCCACTTCTGTGCTACCGAGCAGGTCATTTCCTAGGCAGTAGGTGTGCTGGACATTTTTCCTCCCTAGGTGCAGCACTTTGTATTTCTCCTTGTTAAATTGCATTCTATTGTTTTCTGCCCATTTGTCCAACCTGTCCGAGTCTGCCTATAGTTGTTCCCTGCCCTCCGGTGTGTCCACTTCTCCCCACAGTTTTGTATCATCTGCAAACTTGGACAGAGTACACTTCACCCCCTCGTCCAAGTCACCGATGAAGACGTTGAAGAATATCGGTCCAAGGACTGAACCCTGTGGGACCCCACTGCCCACGTCCTTCCAGGTCGATACCGACCCATCCACCACCAGTCTCTGGGTATGACCCTCCAGCCAGTTTGCCACCCACCAGACTGTGTAGTCATCCAAGTCACAGCCTCTTAATTTGCTCACCAGTATGGGGTGGGATACCGTATTGAAGGCCTTCCTGAAGTCTAAGTAAATGATATCTACCCCTACTCCTGCATCCAGGTGTTTTGTAACCTGGTCATAAAAAGAGACTAGATTAGTGCAGTACTGTGTTCAGTTTTGAACCACCAACTACAGAAACGATGTGGACAAATTGGAGAGAGTCCAGTGGAGGGCAACGGAAATAGTGAGGGGCTGGGGGACAACTTCTGAGGACAGACTGAGGGAACTGGGCTTATTTAGTCTAGAGAAGAGGAGACTGAGAGGGGATTTAATAACAGCCTTCAACTACCTGGAGGGTGATTCCAGAGAGGATAGAGCTGAACTGTTCTCAGTGGTGGCAGATGACAGAACAAGGAGAAACAGTCTCAAGTTGCAGCAAGGGAAGTCTAGGTTAGATATTAGGAAGAATTTTCTCCCTAGGAGGGTAGTAAAACACTGGAACAGGTTACCCAGAGAGGTGGTGGAAGCTCCATACTTGGATGTTTTTAAGATCCAGCTAGACAAAGCTTTGGCTGGGATGATCTAGTTGGGAATGGTCCTGCTTTGAGCAGGGAGTTGGACTAGATGACCTCCTGAGGACCCTTCCAACCCTAATTTTCTATGATTCTAAAGGGCCATGATTGAAGTTGTCATGAAATTTGTCACATGTTGGGTGAAATGTCAGATCCAAGATGGAAGCTTCTCAGAATTACACCACAGTCATTCAGAAGGCCTTTAAGTGTGAAGCCATGAAGAATCAAGTTCCAGATCTTGAGATTCTGCATTAGTTCTTTTGTTCACCTACCAGTTAATCTGTCAAGCTGGAGACATCCAGCATGATCAAATGCATTTTTATCAGAATACATAGAACTTTTGTATTTTCGTGGTGGTCTGTACAAAGTCTGATTGTTGAAGAAGCCACTCTTGCCCCTGGATTTTCATTCATTTCATTATTTTTATTAATTTGAATCTAAATCTGCCCTCCCCTCTTAAAAAAAAAAAAAAAAAAAATAGACAACACCTTGAGCAACACAGTTCTGCCTACTAGACAAATTTTCAGTATTTCCATACTTTCCAGGACTGAACAGCCCATCATCTTTAAAGTAAAGCTCAATTGCTTGAACAACATGACAAAGTCAAGTCCTGACAGCACCTATCCTTGGAGATGGCAGCTCTGTGGGGCTACCTAGCTTGCCAGAGTACAGACTGTGTACTTCAAGGTATGCTGCCAGCTTCCCCACAGTAGTTGCTTTGGTACTTAACAGATCCTTCAGTACTTGTTATTAGGACAGCACCATGCTGTGTTTTGCTTGAAAAAGGGCGGTTGGGAAGATTTCATAGACATTTCGTAGAGGCTATGCAAGAGTGTGTTAGTGTACATATGAGAGAGAAAACACTTTATAGTCACCTATATCAGAAGCAGTAAAGACAACTGTTAAGACTGAAATTTAGAGGAACTAGCTTTCCTACCAGCTGAGGTAGCAGTGTCTGTCTGTCTTATTCTGGACTGACAGTTTGGTAGTATTGAATGCAGCATTAGCTGCAGTCTAGTGATCAATGAAGTTGTTTGTTGTTTTCTCCCAATATCTTTGCAGCTATGACAAGAATGGTTGAAAATAATGAGATGGAATTTCTCTTTAAGACTGACCTTACCAGTGTCT